GAATGCCCTACGTGAAAAGTAAGTAAAGAAATTAGCAATATTAGCAATAATCCAGGTGAGATGTCACGATTAAAACTTTGATGTTCTTTGTAAAATTACATATACTTCATACATACAGGAAGGCCTGGATTTCCTGGAAAGCCTGATGCTCCTGGGGGGCCCTGCAATTGACAAAAGCATAAACTGAAATGACAAACCCACAAAACAGCAAGGACAAGTTGCAGCCCGAGTCGCATCTCCAGTGGTGACAGTCACAAAAACAAGTAACAGTTTCTTTTAAACTTTCTTGACAAAATAGCTCTAATCTTCAAAACCTCTGAAACACAGCACCTTAATAATCGATAACTGAAAGCCATTTCTTGTATTTCTTGAACTTTTTAAGCAGCAATATGGATTTCCTTCAACAGGAACTGAACCAGAGCCTTAGGCACAGGAAAAAAGGAATGCAGAGGTGCTATCTCACAACCATCGTTCCCAAAATGAAATTCACTGTAGGCACCTCTTCATAGCAGAAGAGGATGTTAACGCACTGTAAAGATGCTTCTCTATCTTTCATACTCCACATCAGTGTATCAATTCATCCTTATTATCAAAAAACCTGCCGGGTTGAGATAACTCTTTCTCCTTGAACAGCTTTCCAGTGTAATGAATCAGGAGTTTGACTTCGCACATCATTTTCATCCTACCAGCTTATTTATTCATGCAGTATTTCCTAATACATATATTGTGAAGCAGAAAAGATGTATGGGAATCCTGTGCTCAGATACTATATTTGCATCTTCCAAAACTTTGTATTTGCTAAAATACAGTCTACTTGCACTATAGCACACAATCTCATTTGCCAGGAGATGCCAATTCACATTAACACTCAGGATGCTCCAGAGTATCATGAACAACATAGACTAAAATAAGGATTTCTGGATCCAGCAGAATACCCCCTCTGTAATAGCTCAGAAACTGCAGCTGATTCAGTAAATTCTATGTGCTGCAGCATCTGCAGGCAAACGGAGAACAAAACTGAGACAGCATTTTGAAAATCTGTGGACAAGAGGGTATAGCCGAAAATGTATGCATCGTTACTGGTCAAGTCATCCGAATCCTCTTTCATCATTACATTACGAAATGTGAAAATGCTCAGAATGACCTTGGCACCTCACAAAACCCCAAAAGACCTGGCCCTGGCTAATATAATGTGCTAAAATAAGTGTTATATAAGTGCAAAGTCAAGAGATCTTTGTCCCTGGCTTTAATTCAGCTCTGCACCCTGTGCACATTTTTAACATGTATGAGCTCATGGGTGTGTCAGCTTCTCTGCTGGAGTGCTTCAAGGAGGTTAGATGACAAACATAAAGGAGAATTTTGCATGAGGTAATAAGGTTGGTTCATATTCAAGCTGGAAAAAAGCCTCTTGGTATGTCAGAAAGATATCAAAGGCATATTAAAACCAGTGCTGTTGATGCAGTGGTAAGTAGCAGGTGAAAATGCAAATGGACAAAGGCACTGACGACCCAATGCAGAAAGAACTTCAAAGGCAAAAGTAAGAGTTTTGAACTTACTGTGCAGCACAACGGGATGCTATTGATTAACTCAAAGAAGAGACTAACCCCAACTTGCACTTGAAGGCAGCCATGGAGAGTTAAAGACATATAAACCCAGAGACATCAGAATTGCAAAAAAGGTAAGTCAGAACTCACTCTTGTTCCCTTTGTTCCTGGCAGTCCTGGTTCTCCAGTATCACCCTGCAAAAGAAAAGAGATAGCTTTGTCTTTCCTAGGGAAAACAATTTAGGGAAATCTGAGTGTTTTAAATAGTAAAGCTTAAGTTCTTACCTTAAGCCCTGGTGGCCCAGGAGGACCTTCAGGTCCTTGCATTCCAGGAAACCCAATCACACCCTGTAGTCCAGGCAAGCCTCTTTCTCCCTGTGGAAGAAGAAAACTCATTAGCAACTGAACAGCTGAAGCTGGTTGTTCAAGCAACCCACATATCCCCTGTTTCTGTGCTCAAGAAACCTGCTAGGTGGTAAGAAGCTACATGTGACAGCAAACATTTCATGTTGGTATTAGAAAGAAGGATTATTATAAGCAAAGAAATATTTCTGGTTCAATAATAGGTTGGCAGAGTCTGAGTCTGGCATAATAGAAAAGCACTGTTTGAATGTCAATTAAACCTTTTTTCTCTCTCCCTAGGTAGCACTGTTCATAGCATGTTTATAACCCTGGGATCAGGAAGGCCACTTTCCCTCTAATAAGACTTACCTGCATTCTTGTAGAGATACTACTAAACCCTGGTAGAAAATCTGACTCCCTAATTCAGCAATTCCTGAAAACTGCAAATACCACTGTTCAGTCACTACTGTATGAATAGCCAATACCACTACTCTTCTTGTATATCTTTGGCGTGTTTTAGCCCCAGCCAGCAGCTAAGCACCACGCAGCCGCTCACTCACTCCCCCTGCCCCGGTGGGATGCAGGAGAGAATCGGAGGAGTAAGAGTGAGAAAAACTCCTGGATTGAGATAAGAACAGTTTAATAATTGAAATAAAGCAAAACAGTAATGATAATAGTAACAATATAATAATACTAATAATAATATACAAAGCAAGTGATGCACAATGCAATTGCTCACAACCCACTGACCGATACCCAGACAGTTCCCAAGCAGCAATCGCTGCTCCCCGGCCAACCCCCCCCCAGTTTATACACTGAGCATGACATCATATGGTATGGAATAGCCCTTTGGTCAGTTTGGATCAACTATCCTGGCTGTGCCCCCTCCCAGTTTCTTGTGCACCTGGCAGAGCATGGGAAGCTGAAAAGTCCTTGACTGGCATAAGCAGTACTTAGCAACAACTAAACCATCAGCGTGTTATCAACATTCTTCTCCTACTAAATCCAAAACACAGCACTATGCTTGCTACTAGGAAGCAAATTAACTCTTATCCCAGCCAAAACCAGGACAATCATTCACGGCAGCAGATTTTGGAAACCAGGCTTGTCACTCAGTCTTGAGTTTCAGGGTGGTTCAGAGCCTGAGTGCTTCGAGATACAGGATCTTCCCAAGAAGCTGAATGTACAGATCATATGTGTCATCCTTTAGGTTCTTCTTTAATGCTGTATGGGACATCCATGTTTTCTGTGCTGTCCCTCTCCCTACAACCAACCCTAAATGTATTTAAATCAGATAAATCTAGAGGCAGAAAATCCATCCACACTCTAGATCAATACTGCAGCTATTACATTTTCACTCTACTTGGACTCCCAGTGAAACCAAGAGGAACATCGTCTGAATAAAGGCTACAAAATCTACACATAAGGGAGAGGGAAAAAAAAATATGCCTGTCGAAGTCTGAAAACCACAAATCAAGCAAATCAAAAGCCAAACATTCCATGTAGGATATAAGTAGAGTTGTCCTTTCAAGGTGTGGTGTGAAACAAGGAGAAACACTTCATATTGTCCAAAAAATGTGGGAATATTGGATGAATAAAACATTAGTGAGCAAGTGCAAAAAGGAAAATGTATACAAGTTTGGACAACAGCTAAAAAATGTGGCACCTGTTTTAGAAACTCAAAACACAGACCAATTTTCAAAGGACACCAACAAGGAAATAATATCAACAAGGTTCAAAACACTTGAAAGGAAGCTACACAAAGATTTAAGTATTTTCAGCAAAACAGTGAGAGATGAGATTGCTATTTGTAATTAACAAACGATTAAGTATTTGGATTTTAGGATGGTGAATAGCAAGAAACTTTTCTCCTGTTTGCTCAGGACAAAGATTCCCAGCCATACACTGGTAACTTGCAGGGGTCAGCTGAGGACTGAGCACACAAGAGAAGAACCTCTGAGTCTTGGAGAGCTCACTCTTCAAGCAGGTATGACAGGCATCTTGCAAAGAAAACATTATGAAATGCTGACAGAGGAAACCACGGATGACCCACGGACATGGTGCTAGTTACAGTTTTGGAAGACGAGAGGAACTGGAAGATTTGTGGAGTTACTGGGTTGATGATGGTTTTTAGTTCCTTGGCCAGGATTTTGTTAAGAAGATGAAGGGACAAAGGAGAAGAGAGGTGACTGACGGGTAAGAAGAGCAGGGCCAAGGAAGGAGAGGAGAAAACTATAACTGAGATGGTAAGAGCATGAGACAGCGAAACCAAAATAACACTCATTTATTAAAATTTCCTGCCAGGAAAAATTCTCCTGCTTCCTCCCCTTCCTCCCACAAAATTTAATTTTTCAATAAAAAAGTTCTTTCTGAGGCAAACAATCCGTTTTTCCTTGAAGTGCCGAAATTGCATGATCTCCTCTATTTACTCCCCAGTATTCTTTGTCATGGTTTGAGAACAAAGTTTGCTAGTAACCCAAATCCCAGGCAGTGTGCTAGACCACAAAACAGAGCAAAACAAAGCAAACAGCAGAACAGCTGGAGAAACATATTTCTAGGTCAGCTGTAAGAGGTACAAAGTCCAAGTTCTAAAGTAATTAAAATTGTTTTGAAAAATATTTTAAGGAAGAATGTATCAGGATCCAGGCCTCTGAATAAATGTTGAAGTAATTATCCTAAAATCTGAAGGCTATCTGAAATGTTGAACAGATTACTGAGGTTCTTAAACCCATACTTTGGCTGGCTAATTGGCACTGCAGTAACAAGTGTATCTCTACAAAACCAGATGTTGTGTCACTTCAGACCAGGATATTACACTGAACCCTGCGCACTTGCTCTCATGACCCGCTGGGAGATGGACTAAGGAGGGAGAAGACACTCAAGTACATAAAACAGGGTTTTCCATTGCTGAAGAAAAGCACAACATGTGCAAATGAGAAGAAAACAAGATTATTTTGACACCTACAGAGAAATGAGAATCATGTGCAACACGACTAATACTTTATGCACGCAGGAGTTCTGTCCATCTGAGGATTTCAACACACTTCAAACCACTGCACCCTGCAATGCAGGGAAATAGTCTTTCCTCCGTTCTTAAGGAAAGATAAAACTGAGGTTTACAGATCAGATTTTCACTTACTCTAAGGCTCCCTTAAGACTGCTCTGGCACTGTAAAAGGGCCTTAACATGCCTGTAAATCACTCACTAAGGGAATGACCACCTCAGCTTGCCAAGGAGGTTAACTCAAGGCTTGAAATAAATAAAAACTTGGGCTTCCAAGGCAACTATAATCAATTCTCTCAAGGCTGTCTTCAACCTCCCAGGCTGCCCTGCCTGAGGGGTAAAACATAGCTGCAGGAGCAGAGCTGAGACCATACTAAGATACATCCAGGTTTCTGTAGAAACATTTTATTTTACTGACTTCAACTGTTAGGCCAACAAGAAAAATAACTGGCTATTTGTCCAGGACTTCTGGACATCCAGTCAAGCTACTGGATGTCCCAAGGCCTGAGAGCATAACTCCTGAGGATGTGGAGGGCTGTACCGTCCCAAATACTGCAGACTCATGGTTTCTCATACTGGAACTGAGCTCATCTTCTTGCCTGTGATTTGCCAAAGGGAAGTAAGGGAACATAAAGGTGACTGCAGGTGTGAGAGCTGCCAGATCCCTCTCTGCATGCAACCTGCCACCTTGGCTGCTTATTCTAACAGGAGAGCATGGACTAACACACTGGGTACACCTCTCCCTCTGCTCTGCCTTCCCATTTCATTTTACTGCAAAGTAAGTTTGGGGTAAATAGTCCAAAGTAAGCATTGGGTAAGTAGTCCAAACTTGTGCAGTCTCAGGCAACACAGTTAATGGGACCTTACTCCTCTGTGCCACCCAAGGAAACTCAGAGAATTTAGGACAACCTATTCCACCAAGACCCAGTAACAGACCTAGGGATGTCTCCTGGGTGCCAATCCCTTTCTTTAGTCCGGGTATCAGACTGCCTCTTTGTATAATAGCCTTAGGAAACTAGCGTGCCAAAACTTGTAAGGAAAGAGGCAGTGATAATGAACAAAGGTCTAACTTCAGTACTCCTGCTCCAGTTAGTAGCAACTTCCACCATGAGATGTTTTTTGGCATCAGAGAAACTACACTAAATTACAGTAAAATTCTATCAGTCTTAAAGTATCTACACTGAACAAGAGAGTACAGAAACTCTACCATCTAGAAGCTGTAAAGTCATGTGAATGCAGAGCTCCAGGCGTCCAAATGTCACTGGGTAGATTAGCCCGCAGAGATCACTGGGGTAGCAACATTTGTACACTGCTTTCCTACCCAAGTAGCTAATTTGGAACTTCAAGCACAGATGAAGCCACCACTTATTACGTTGAGCAGTACAAACATGAGCATGTCCTGAAGATGCCTTGCATTGCAAGGAAATACTTGAGCAGCATCCTTTTCCTGCTTGCCTTCCCGGTTCCTTCCTTCACTCAATATTCCAGCCAAACAGCCCAACAGCTAGTGTTTGCACTACGTTTATGCTGCAACTCATTAAGCATCCACACTACATAAATTGGCAAGCACCAGATCACCGCTGCTACCCCACTTATTTTTCACTCAGCACTGAGATTTCTAGCTGCGATGTGTGAAGAGCATGAGACTGACTGCAAGGGTTCAAGTTCCAATATTCACAGCTGCAAAATCTTGGCAAGTAACATTGAAAGAGCTTCTGCTTCTTACAAATCAATTCATGAGACTCGAAAAGTAAAACAGATGTAACCAAGTCATCTGTACCTCTGCTGATTCAATGCAAACTGTCAGAAAGCACAAAGGAGAATTCACTACTCAGCTCACAAAAATGAATATTCTGCCGCTTAGCTGCTGAAAATGCAGAGGTGCTACGTAAAAACACAGCAAGTGCTCAGTCGCTGTTGCACTCATTTCATAAGCAAGATGCCTGTGTTAGTCCAGCTTTTGTGAAATGCATCCAAATGCCTTTGCATGAGGTAGTTCAAATTAAAAGCAAGTGAATGGACTTCTAAACAGAGGTGAAACTGTTCAGAGCAAAACTACATGGGCTGATATTTTTGCTGGCACCTAGCCTTCCAAATTAGCCATGAAATGCTGTTTGACACATGGAACAACTGCAGATTGCTATGCAAGAGAGTCACATGAAGTAAGTAGCTTCAGAAGATTCAGCTGTAATAAATTAAGTGCTGAGGGGGAGGAAATAATCACCACCCCATTATAAATTATTTCCCCTATTATTTTGCTGGACTGAGAGATTTTAGACTTAAGAAACTGGTAACATGGATATAAATCAACTGTTTCCAGAAGTGCGAGCTCACGGGGTGTCTAGGCCCATACGAATATAATGTTCTCAGGC